ACCAGTGGGTTATGACCCTTTGGGGGGGGTCATATATCAGACATTTACATTATGATTCATAACAGTAGCAAAATTATAGTTATGAAGGAGCAACAAAATAATTTATGGTTGTGGGTCACCACAACATGAGGAACTGTACTAAAAGGTTGCAGCATTAGGATGGCTGAGAACCACCAACTTAAATCCTCTGCAGCTTCTCTTTGGCATATGGAAATTATTAGTGTTATGGTTTTCATCTCTTTAAGAGACAAGCCATGCCCACTCCCGGCGACCCCTGCCCTCCTCCCACCATCTTAGATTCTGTCTGTCCCCTCTTGGTACGCATGCGTCTCTTGTCTCTCAGGCCCTTCTCTGTCTCTCTCCTTTCTCTTCTCCTTCTTCCCCCAAACACTCTCTCTCTCTCTCTCTCTCTCTCTCTCTCCATCCCTCTCTAAGTAATAAATATCCAATTCTATTCTGTACAATGTGTCTGCCCATGTGCCTTCTACCCTCTGCCTGCTCACACCCGCCCGCCTCTCTGGGACCAGCCTGCTGGGGATCTTGCAACTGCTCCGGGGTCCGGCAGCCATCTCTGCCTGGGACTAGCTGCTCTGCGGGCCACCGGGGATCTTGCAGCATTTTAAAAATTAGTATGCCTATTTAAGCCTTGGAACTGAAACTCAGTAAAATGAGTGTTATTTGAAAATGAGCACAGCGCAGCCCATGTAGCAAAGATGGCTATCAACTGACTAACGGGAATGTAGTGTAACCCTATGGAAATGCTGGGCAAAGTCACAATCATACCACAGAAGGGATGGTGCAAAGTTTTGTCAATCTACTTAAAATGGTGCACTTTAAAATGTGAATTCTAGGAGCTTGGGGATTTTTTGATACGTGGGGGGGGGCACACATGCACACGTGCTTGCATGCATGTGTGCACCCATGCATATTCATGTGTATGATGGTGTACATGTGTCCAGGTGAGCATATTCGTGTATTCTTGCATGAGAAAGGAAGAGTCTATAATACATAATCTTGGGCGAGATGGGTGCTGTGTAAATGTCCTTAAGAGAGTCATGTGACTCATGGTCCAACACCTTTTAGGTAGTCTCTTTACTCACTATTCCACTCTCATTGTTCAGAACGTTTGTTTCTATTCCTAACTACGTCATTGATCTATTCGTTGCACTCAAAACACAAACAAGAACCTGGCTACTTCAGCAGATACACAGGGACTCTGATCTGCTCTGTGAAGCCATGCAGGCCACAGATGAGTACAAACCTACCTCCCATCCCCACTGCATCTAGACCAAAACCCAGCTCCAGCCCAAAACTCAAAAGGCCCTAGAAAATCCAAGCCCAAAGGTGGTCTTGCATTCTACCGAGTTGTCTATTCCTATCACGCACCTTCCTCTAGATCATTGCTCCACAACTCTTTGTCCCCGAGTTGCCAGTATTCTCAAAATATTCCCAAAGGTAATGTTTTCGTCCCCTCAGTCATCTATCTTCTCCACTGTCTCCTCCCCGTGACTTCCAGGACTTGTCAGTTTGACACAAACTTAGATAGAACTGGGAAGGCAAACTCTTAGTTAAGAAAAATGCCTCCGTGGGAAATGATTGATGTGGGAGGGCCCAGCTCACTGGAGGTGGTGCCAAACCCTAGGCTTGTGGTCCTGGGTTCTATAAGAAAGCAGCCAGTGAGCTGTGTTCTTCCATAGTCTCTGCATCATCTCCTGCCTCCAGGTTTCTGCCCTGTGTTCCTGGCCTGACCTCCCTAGATAACAGACTACAAACTATAAAATGAAATAAACCCTTTCCTCCCCAAGCTGCTTTTGGTCAAGGAGTTTATCACAACAATTGAAAGCTATCTAAGACATCCCCCAACTCCTACTACCCAAGAGTACTCCTCAGAAGTTCCCATAAAAACCTCACCCACGAGTCCCATTGCTCCTTTGAGCTTGGATAGGGGTAAAAATAAATAACACTTCCTCCCCTCCCTCCTCCTACCCTTTGTGTGCTAACCCATAAGCCACCCATTCCTTTTCTCCCATTCACCAATCCTTCCCAGGGAATTTTACAACAAGCGAATGAGGTCACTGAAGCCATAAACAGCTAATGAACTGCTCTCTTGGATATCAAAACACAATAAAAGCTAGCACTCAGAACAGAAATGCCCCAGGTACAGGAGAGGGAAGCAGAAACAATAACAGCCACAGGAAGAAGAGACTTTTTCTTTCCTTCTTTCTCTTCCCCCTTTCTCTCTTTTCCTTCCATTTTTTTTCCTTCTTTAGAATAGAATGTCTCCCAACTTCCCCTCTTGTCTCTTTGCTTCCTTCTTTCCTTTTTCTGGGGTTCAAGGTTTCACTTTGTAACGAGAACATTTGCCACCCTCCTGCCTCAATCTTCCCAGAACTAGGATTACAGATGACTGCTATCACATCTATCTTGATTTCTGCCACAAACAGCATCAAGACCCACCCCCATGAGTCTCTAGGGGGCACAAAGTACCCCACAATGACTCATATCCACACAGAGTTCCCCAGAGTCAAGAGTGGAAGATTTTATACATGGTGATAGTTAAACAGAAATATTTAACGGAGAACATCTTATGTGTAGAGACGATTTTAAGTATAAGACATGAAAAAGGCATGTAAAAATCAAGTCAGAGCCCCTGATTAGAAGCCCCCCTTGAGAGGCTGGTAGCATTGCCCAGTGGTACGGCTTAGTCCTCCCATACACAAGGCTTTGGGAGTCTGTCTTCAACAACACCATCACTCTCCAGTAGCTCTGAACATTCAGAATATTTTCTCCACTGAACAAGAAGAGCCACAGATGAAATTGACAAAAAGATTAACAAGCTTCAAAGAAGAAAATTACAGATTAGATTCTGCCAAACCCACACAGGGTCTCACACAAGGAAAGAGGGGAGCAGAGAAATCCTGAATGATAAACATGTTTTCAGAGGCTCTGCCCTGAAATCAAACACAAGCAGAGATAAACAGTCACAGTATAGGCTTAGCACCCACCCGAGGACTTTCTGAAAGACGTTTTTAAACAACTCTCAAAGGCCAGTTCTCTCCATTCAAGGCTGGGAGTCCAGTCCACAGGTCCAACATTTCTGGAAAGCCATTTGGCAATCCAAATCAGGAGCCTCTGACCCAGAAATTTCCTTTCTGGAAAACAAGGCTAAAAGAAACAAACATGGAGCTGGAGAAATGGCTCAGCAGTTCAGAGCACTTGCTGCTCTTGCCAAGGATCTGGGTTCAGGTCCCAAACCCACAAGGCAGCTCACAACCATTAGAACTACAATTCCAGGGGACCCAACACCTTCTCCTGGCGTCTGTCTAAGGGCGCACATGTGATACACAGACAATCTTGAAGGCAGAACACCCATGTATATATAATAAAAATTATTTTAAAAAATAAAACTTGAACCCTAAAACAGCCAAAATCTTTTTTTAAAAAATTAAATAATCTAAGTGCCTTATAACTCAGAAGGCTAAAGATATAGAGGCAACAGATCCTGAAGGGAGTGGAGAGACAGCTCAAAGGTAAAGGCATTTGCTCCAGCAGCCTGACTACCTAAGTATGTGGACGAAGAAGACCAACTTCTAAAAGTTGTCCTCCAACTTCCATGTGGGCCATGGAATACAAGTGCATACTCATATACAGACACACATGCATACGCGCACATAAACATACACACACAAAAAAAATAAAAATAAATAGATGTAAAAAAATACTACTTTCAAAGTTGAATTTTTACACATTTCTTTTTCTGACTATCTCTTGCAAACTGACTTCTATAAGCAGATAAGAAAAATATGTTACGTCAAATACACACCCTTGCATGGTCTACTACTCAACCAAGCAGAGGCCCATAGGAACATTCACTATCCAGCAGGGGTGTGGCAAACAGCCCTCCCAAAAAATCTGCCCCCCTACTTATTTTGTAAATAAAAGTTTGTTGACAGGGGCTGGAGAGATGGCTCAGTGGTTAAGAGCATTGCCTGCTCTTCCAAAGGTCCTGAGTTCAATTCCCAGCAACCACATGGTGGCTCACAACCATCTGTAAAGAGGTCTGGCGCCCTCTTCTGGCCTTCAGGCATACAGACAGGATATTGTATACATAATAAATAAACAAAAAAAAAAAGTTTGTTGACATACAAGCCACACCCATGTCTTAGCACCTAACTGTGGTTGCTTGCCTACTACAATGGTGGGGTTCAGTATACTCATTCACCTATCAGAGATTTCACTTCCCACAGTCTCAATAACCCATAGTCAACTGTAAACTACCAAATGGAAGATTCCAGAAATAATCAATTCGTGTTTTCAATCATGTACTTTTTGGAGTGGCACAATAAAATCTCAAGATGTCCTGTTCTGCCACACCTGATATACGAATCAACTTCAAGTATAAAACTAGTTGTTAAAACAATGATGATTATATTCAAATTATCTTTATTTTACTTAAAGGTGTCCCCCTAAGTGCAAAAGTGATGCTTGTTATTTTATTAGAGAATACCATTATAATTATTCTATTTCAGTATTGGTTGTTAATCTCTTACCAAGTGACAGTATGTATGTGTGTGTCTGTGTGTATGCGTGTATCTACATACACTACATGTACAACTCTCAGAGGCCCGGGGTGCTGGATTTTCTGAGTGATATGGTGCTGGAAACTGAACATGAGTCTTCTAGAAGAGCAGAAAATGCTCTCAAATGTTGAGCCATACCCCAACTGCCTCTGTTTATTTTTGTTATGGTATTCTATCATAGCAATAGAAAAGTATAGATATATATAAATACACACACAAAAAAATGTACATGCGCCTCAGTGAAAGTGTATCCCTCAAAGATAAGGAGGCAGTGAAGTGTATCCCTCAAAGATAAGGAGGCGAGGGGTGAGTGTATTGTTTTGATGGAAATTCTAGGGTTTGTACTCTGCAGCCTTCATCACCTAAACCTTTCCAGTGACCAGGAAGGAATGGCTTAGAACGGAGCTGCCTCCAGCATACCTTTCTGACAATGACTGTGTGTCCAGCACCGTTCCACAAACTGCCCATTGATGACGGTGGCAGGGCAGTTGGTCTTGCCCTTGGCAGTGCCTGGACAGACATCCCCACACTCCTCATTGTCATCTTTATTCAGCACGATGTAGTTGTCCTCCACAGAATCCAAGATCCGAGACCAGTCAATGGTGGCCAGGTAACAGAGCTCATTATTCTTCTCAATGCGGACAGAGCCCCGGGTGATGTTCATGAGGTTGTAGAGCCCCAGCTCCTTCAAGTGGACCATCTCAAAGATGACCAGGGCATAGTTGAAGAAGAGGCGGGAGCCTCGGATGACTGTAAGGTTGGGGAAGAGGTCTTTCAAACTCTCCAGGCCATAGACACGGAAAAGAAGCAGGTAGTCTGTAATCATGATGAGTTTGGGGAAACTGAGGTCTCGGAAATCTTCGGGTCTAGTTTTGAACATCAAGAGGATCTGCAGATGGCCCTCGATGACTGAGCAGTTCTCCAGCTCATGCAGCCTGGTCAGGTTGTTCCTGATGTCCATGCCAGGGCACACTAAAGGGCAGACAACAGAAGCAAAGTAGATGAGTCAAGGACTCTAGAACAGCTAATGAAGCCAGAGTCAGAAAGACAGCAGTGTTTGCTGTACAGGCATGAAGACCTGACACCCATGCCCAGGACCCACGTAGTAAGCTGGTACAGCAGCATGTGTCTATGAGGGCTGGGGGCACGCAGAGATAGACAGATTCCCACAGCTTATTGGGCTACTTGTATCAACGAACTCCAGGTCAGTAGGACACCCTGACTTAAGAAATAAAGTAGAGGGCTTCTATGGAACAGTTGTCACTTAAAGTAGACTTCTGGTCTCTAACACACACACACACATGGGATATATATCCCAGAGCACTCTAGGTCAGCATTATCACAGAGTCTCCTGCAAATCTATGCTCACTGCTGCTCTGCTCACAATAGCTATATGTGAAAGCAGTTTAAATGGATAAATAATAAAGAAAATATGGCACATAATGTAATATAGACATCTTCTCAATAGCCAAGTTGTGAAACAAGCAATTGATAGATGAGAACTAGACTGTGGCTCAGCTGGTAGACCACTTTCCCAGAATGCATAAAGCCCCTTAGTCCCATGCCCAGCACATACTGGATATGGTGGTGCACACCTATAATCCCAGCATTTAGGAGGCAGGAGACAGGAGGTTCAGGAGTTGAAAGTCATCTTCGGCTACATAGCAAGTAAGAGGCCAACCTGGGCTATTTGAGACACTGTCTTAAAAAATAATGATAATAACAGATAACAAAGAAAATATGGCATGTAGACACAATGGAGTATTAGTCAGTCATACAGAATGAAATAGTTACATACATTATATACATGCATGACAGAAGCAGAAAGGAGAGCAGTTGAGGTAAAAAAAAAACATGCATGTGGGCAGAGATCCAAGTAAGAATAATGGGGCAGGCAGGGGTGATGAGCAAGGTACAATCATATAGACACACAAAATGACATAGCTTGAAACCCATTCTTCAGTATGCCAACCAAAAAGCTTAATGAAAGAAAAAACCAGGACTCCTTTCCAATCTTCCTGGCTATTAAAAGAGACAGTGCCACGGTCAATGTGAGCAGGTGTGTCTCTTCCACATCCAGATTTCGTGAACTTTGTAGAGTTGCCCAGGAAAGGATGATCTGTTCCAGGCTTTGAGAAGCCTCTATATTGGTTCTCCACTGACTATACCAGCAGACATTCCCACCAACAGCATGTAAGAGCTCCCCTTCCTTAATATTCACATCTTTCTGATGAATAGCCATCGCCATAAATGTCCATCAATGAATGAATAGATAACGATAGTGTGCTAGGGGTGGTGGCAACTTGTAACCGCAGTGATCAAGAGGCTGAGGCAGGAAGATTATGAGTATGAGGATAATCTGGGATACATGGACTAGGCTGAAGGACATGGTTCATATGTAGAGCCCCTGCCTAGACTCTCCTAATGAGGGCTGGGATGTGGCTTAGGGGAAGAACCCCTGCCTAGAATCTCCCAGTGAGGGGCTGGAGGTCTGGTTCAGGGATAGAGTCCCTGCCTAGAGTTCCCCAGTGAGAATATGGGAAAGCTACAATTAGGGCCAGTGCCAGCTTTGTGGTCACCCAGTGTGGGCTCTGCATTTCAGATCCCTAAGCCAGCCCCGATGAATGGCTTTCCCTGTAAAGCAACCATGCCTAAATAATTCCTTTCAAAAGGCAAAGAACATAATTCCTTTGGCTGCCCAGTTAGAAGCCTTAACATAATCATAACCCTATCTATGAGGCAATCGGCTGACAGGAGGGTTGAGTAAGACATCAAGTGCAGAGGAAAGGGCAGCCGACCCCAGCCCAGGGCCCCTGAGCCTCAGCATGGAAGCTCTTCAGGAAGTGACTGACAGGAAAATGTACTCATATCAGAACAGGGGAAGGAAAAACTGAATGTCTTTGTTTTGTGTTCACCCACCTCCCTGGCTGGCTCTGCTTCCTTGGCCTGTCCTCCTGGCTGCCAATCAAGGTCTAATTACCTTTTACCTGGGTGTGGCAAGAGCTTCCCAGGAAACCCAACCTACATCTCTTTGCTCAAACACAAAGGGAGTGCTGATTCTCCTAAGGGTGGGGGGCTGCCAAGTTCCCACCTCCTCCACACCTTCCCATGGCCCTGCACGCCTGGCAATCACAGTCCTCAATATTCCTAAAAACTCTCCCACCCCTTAAGCCATGTGCACTGGCTAGTTTTTATCAACTTGACACAAGCTTGAGTCATCTGGGAAGAGAGAACCTCAGTTTAGAAACTGCCTTCATCAGACTGCCCTAGAGGCAAGCCTGTGGATTGATATGGGAGGAGCCAGACCACTATGGGCCTCCCCGAGGCGGGTGGACAAAGAAAGCCAGGAAGAGTAAGCCAGTCAGCCCTGCTCCTCCAAGGTCTCCACTTCAGTTCCTGCCTCTGGGTTCCTGCCTTGAGTTTCTGCCTTGACTTCCCTTCATGACAGACTAGGTTGTGAAGGTAGCTGTTGGTCATGGTGTGTTTATCAAAGCAACAGCAAACAAACTAGAACACCATGCTAAGCAGCTACTCTCTCAATAGCTACAAAACTTCCTGTCCCCAATGTCAGAAGGGCCCAGGCACTGAATGTTATGCAATAGGTGCTCAGCTCACATCACCTTTGTTGATGTGTACTTTCCCTCAAATATGTAACACATCTCTGTGTGAGTCTGTTTATGCACTCACAACCCCTACCTTCACTCCCAGCAAAGGACAAAGGTGTCATTCTTCCTCACATGCCTTCCACTATCTTTTTGAGACAGTTTCTCTCTGACCTGGAGCTTGCTGAGTGGGCTAAGCTAGGGAGTCAGTGAGCCCCGGGACTCCATCTGTCTCTTCCACCCCAGCTATGATTATAGTATAAGCTGCCACTCCTGGATTCTTGGCTTCTGGGGAACTAATTCAGTTCCTCGTACTTGCAAGGCGAGTTCTTTATTGACTGAGCTGTCTCCCCGCTTCTATTTTAATCTTCCTCATCTTCCTTGTCTTCCTCCTCTGTCCCCATGCTCCTGAGGAAAAGGCAAACAGCCTCCCCAGCTCCTGCTGGCTACTCCCAGCCTCAACCTCCCAAGCCCTCAAATCACAGGGGCCCCACCACACGCTGCTTAGCTCCAGGCCATGATCCCTTAGAGCCATTCAGAAGCCACCCACTTCAGCAGCCCTCCCTGACTGCCCTTCCCGTGAAGACCTCTATGAGTCTCCCCTTCTTTGTGTTCCTTCTATACAAGTTAGCATTTGTCAGAATCAAACTCCTTAGATAGCATTTCCCTACCAACCAGAGCCCTCTGCACCCATACAACCTCTGTTTATTTTATCCCAAAACATCCAATATCTTTGAGGCAAAGAGACTCTTACCCTGAAGCCACTGAGATGGCTCATCAGGTAAAGGTGCTTCTACCAAACCTGACAACTGGAGTTCGATCCCTGGACCTCACATAGCAAAAAGAAAGAGACATCCTCTAACCTCCATATGTTCACCGTGGGATATACATACATACATACATGTGCACACACGTGCATGTATGCATGAACGTGCATGTACACATACACATACCAGCTAAGATAAAAGGAACAGATAGCTTGAGCCTAGCAAAATAATGAATCCCTGTCTCAAAATGAAAGACTCCAAGCTGAAGAGATGGCTCAGTGGATGAAATGCTGCCTTGTAAGCCTGATTCCATCCCTTGGTAGTGAGCACTTAGAATTTCTGCACTGGGAAGGTGGAGATAGGGGTTCCCTGGAGATCACTGGCTAGCCAGGCTACCAAGGTCCAGGACAGTGGCAGACCCTGTCTAAAAAAAAAAATAGGGTGTCTGAGGGACACCCAAATTTTCCATTTGACCTCCACATAGATGTGCACATATGTGTAAGTATATACACACTACACACAGGCATGCACACATACACACACATGCACACATGCAAATATACATGAACACACACACACAAAGGGATAGGGAATCTAATCTGAGAATGACTCACAAAAGCCACAAAAGTGACTTGGGGAAGTACATCCTAAAGCTCTTGGATTTGGTGTTCTTGCTTCATAACCCTCACAGAGCATATTAAACTCTATTAAAAGAAAAACCACACACTTATTCATGAGGAAGTTAGAAGCCCCAGCCCTGGGCAAGAGTAAAACTGCCACCCTGCCTGACACACTTGCCAGCCAGGCTCAGAGCAGAGCAGAAGGCCCCCTGCAGTGATGAAGCCTGGGCTGAGAGACAGCTTTGAAGAGACCAGTACACCAGCTCAAATTCCACATAGTCGCACCAAGCAGATCTGAGGTTCCTGACAGACACCTCAATGGTTTTCAAGCATGGACATATTGACAGGCAGAGACCCACAGACATACTGTGTCAATGTTACTCTTGATTGACAAGTGGACAGGATCTAGAAGCACACAGGGGACAAGCCTGTGTTGTGAGGAAGTCTCTACACTGGGTTAACTGAAACAGGAAGACCTACCCTGAAAGTGGGCAGTGCCATTCCACGGGCTGGGCTCCTGGGCTAAATAGAGAGCAAGTAGTGTTACAAAAACTTAGTCAAGGGCTAGGGAAACAGCTCGGGGGTAACACACTCGTCCTGCAAATGTGAGGAGCAGAGTTTTGATCCCAGCACTCACAAAAATGATAGACAGGTATGACAGCCTGCCTATAATCCCAGCACTTGGGAGATAAAGAGGAGGCCCAGAACAAGCTGGCTTGATAAACTAGACATGCAATATCGGCCTCTGCTCTCCACACATCTGCACAGATACATGCACTCACACATGCTAACATGCATGTACATATCTTTTGCACAGATGCAAAAGAGAAAAAGGCTTAGGAAAGTCCTTGCTGAACAAACATGAACAGCTGTGTTCCATCCTCAAAACCCGCATATAAAAAGCAAGCACAGATGCATACACGTGAGAGTTCTAGTGCTGGGGAGACAGACACAGGAAGATCCTGGAGGCCCACAGGCACGCC